TAATGCTGGCATCTCCGACAGGTACTGATTTGAGTCTTGGCTGCTTCACTTCTGATCCAGTTCCCTGCTGTTGTACCTGGGAAAGCAGCAGGGAAAAGCCCAAGTCCTTGATCTCCTGCACTCATGTGGGAGACCAGAAATGAAGTTCCTGGTGCCAGCCAGCAGACCCAGCTGTTGGCACTCATCTAGGGAAGGATCCAGCAGATGAAAAATCATTTCTCTCTAATAAATAAATAAAACATTTTTTAAAAATTAAGAACATGAAGAAATGTGTGTGCAATAATACTAAGATAAAAATCAGCATATGGTAAGGCAGATATACTTTTTGAAAACATATACACTGGAGCTGGCATCACAGCTTACTAGGCTAAGCCTCTGTATGTGGCACCAGCATCCCATATGGCCACTGCCAACCCAGCTCCTTGCTCATGAGCAAGGAAAACAGTGAAGGATGACCCAAGTTCTTGGGTCCCCTGCACCCCCGACAGGAGACCTGAAAGAAGCTCCTAGCTCCTGCTTCAGACAGACTCAGCTCAAGTCACTGGGGACATTTGAGGATTGAATCAGAGGATGGGAGATCTTTCTCTCTGTCTCTCCTTCTTCTGTAACTCTTCCTTTCAAACCAAAATAAATCTTTATTTTAAATACACGAAAAAATGGGAAAAAAATACATCTTAAAATATCAGTGTTAGCGCTTTTCAGACTTTTGGCTAAGATTAAGCCTTGTTTTTGTGGAAAAGGAGAGGCCTCCAGTTGATTTTTTTTTTCCTTTTGACTCCTTCTAGATTGCCAACTTTTCTATCAATAAATACGAGTAATTTATACTTTAAATTTTCAAGCAATATGCAAAAACAACAATGTTTAAAATTCAAATATAAACTGTCAAGTTTGCAGGAGTACCACCTGCAATCCTAGTCGGTTCATCAAGGTGAAACAGCTAATAGTCAGTTGGTTATCTCTCAGGAAACCCACACACGTGTCAATGCGTCTGTATCAGTACATGGTGCTCCTGTGTGGGAGATCTGGGGGATGCCCCTGGCTCCTGGCTTCAGATCAGCTCAGGTCTAGCTATTGTGGCCATTTGGGAAGGGAACCAAAGGATAGAAGATCTCTCTCTCTCCCCTTCTCCCTATAAATCTGCCTTTTAAATAAAAATAAATAAATATTTAGAAATTTTTTACAAACAAGGCTCTCAGCAAGAGCTTTGAAATGGGATGAGCCCAGGGGAGAAAGCCAGTGAGCAGAGAATTCAGAGGGCAGCAGAGAGGCCCAACAAAACAAGCATGGACCCGGGCCGAGTCCCAGCATGACAAGCACAGAGCCAGAGCCACCTGCACAGCGCTCTGAGCTGTGGAGAGGAGCCTGACTCCTGCTTCCCTGGGGGCCCCCTGGGATGGCATGTTCTGCCCCGAGAGTTCAGCCCACAACCCTGCAAACCAACACGGGCCCACAAGTAATGAGGAGATGCTCCAGGAAGAGCTCAGCATATTTTCTGTCTTCTTCCTCTGAAACACAAACCCAGCTCTTGTCACACAGCCCTGGCTCCATCAGCATCTTCCTATGCAGATTTTTCTGTCCCCACTAGCACCCCTGAGACCTTCTACTATGATCAGGGCCAGACACCTGACTGTCTCCATATGGGATGTCCTCAAGCAAACTCTAGCCTCCAGGAATCACCCACCCCCTTCTTGTGAGGCCCTAGAACTCTATTTTCCTAACATCTCTGAAGCCTTGGGGTCCAGGTTTTCCTGAATCAGTCTCATAATCAGTTTCTCCACCAAGATTCAAGTTTCTCCGCCAGATTCAAGCCATCACCTTCTGCTTGTCAGCTGCCATCAGCCCATGCAAATCTCCAACTCTCCAGAGCCACCCACACCTGGCTGCTGTGTGGAGCAGGTGCTTCCTAGGTTTGCAAAACAGAGAACAAGCACAGCACAGAACAGAAAACAACTTCAATCTCAATGTCAAGTGATCTCTACAGCAGGAAATTGCTCACTGGTGTACCTGCCTTCCACCTGTCTGTCTCTTTTGCTCTTGCTCTCTCTCTCCATGTTCCCACACCGCATTGGGTGTTTCACCCTTGTCCTTCCCAGTGACCCCCATACATCCTAAAGCCCTCCCTCTTCTTACCAGAGCCACCAGTCTCCATGCCCTCCATGGAGGGCCCCCCACAAGGTGCTTGTGCTGCCCTTCTGTGGCATTCTGCCCTCTCCAATATAAGTCACAAAGAGTATACGAGGCAGCCAACCTGCAGCATCTACAGCTGTCAGCCACACCCCACAGGTGCATGGGCACAGCTGGTCTGAACCTGATTCCCATTCACCTGTATTTTCACAGCAGACAATGCAGGCCCACTTTGGAGCCATGTGTCAAGATTATATACTGCTTTGGGGCCTACAAGTTGACTCAACTGGATAACCCTCCACCTGCAAAGACCGACATTCTATCTGGGTGCCAGTTCAATCCCAGTTGCTCCACCTCCCATGCAGCTCCCTGCTGTGGCCTGAGAAAACAGAAGAGGATGGCCCAAAACCCTTGGGACCCTGAACCCTCATGGGAGACCTGGAAAAAGCTCCTGGCTTCTGGCTTCAGATCAGCTCAGTGCTGGCCATTGTAGCCATTTAGGGAGTGAACCAGCACATAAAGGAGCTTTCTCTTGTCTTTCCTTCTCTCTGTAAGTCTGTCACTCCAATAAAAAATAAATAAAATCTTAAAAAAAAAAAGGATACACTGCTAAGAAGGTCTTTGTGAGGAGAGATGACAGCATATCATAGAATTTGGCCTTCACGAAATCTCTGAAAGGCTGTGTCTTTGCCCTGTCCATGAGAAGGGAGAAGCAAAATCAAACAACCTCCCCTGTCAGCTCTTGGTAACTCGAGAGTTAGCAGTGAGTGCACCAGGCCCGGGGCTCAGTTCCCAAGGGCACACGTGTTCCCCAAAGATCACAAACTCCACGTACCACCCTACATCCACCTGCTTGTCTTCCAGGCACCATGGCAAGGAAGTGCAATCACACATACAAAAACATGCCACTTTCCATTTCCCATAGATAGCAGTGTCCAAAGGCTCTGTGCCCCAAACCTCTGAGAAGTCCTTGTCCTAACAAGCAGCAGGTGACGCCCAAGCAGTTGGGCTCAAGGGCACATTCTGTGTCTTCTTGTGGCTCAGCAGCTCATCCACACAAAGCCCGCAGCAGTCGTGGAAGGCACCCTGCACAATGTGCTGCACGCACACATGGGTTGGCTGAACTATAAATGTGTGTCACACCAGCCTTCCTGGCTCCAGTGGAAGATGTCCCTGCAGGACACCTGGCATCAGGAGCACTGGTGGCTGCACCACAGGGTGACGGCTATTGGAGGTTGCACGGAGCACTGCGTCCACCCCACCAGGTGCTCATCTGCAAACAGGCTGCTGGCTAGCGGGTGGGCCAGCGCCGGCCACCTCTCAGCTTCCACCCAGGAAAGAGGAAAATGGGGTCTACCCTGTGTCCTTGGGGCTTGTCCTCTCCCCCTCCCAGCCCTCATTTTTGTCTGCACTGCTCACAAGGGAAGGTTCAAACCCAGGCTGATCCCAGAGCCAGCACTCACCATCAATGTGAAATGTCACATTCTTAACAAGAGCCCTTTTAAATGTTCTATTTGGTTTTCACTTTATTTGAAAGACAGAAATGGAACTTCCATCTGTTGGCACAAGCCAGGCTGGGCCAGACTGAAGCCAGGATCCTATAACTCCATCTGGGTGTGCTAGGTGGGTGGCAGGGACACAAGCACTTGAGCCATCATCTGCCACCTCCTTGATGCATGAGCAGGGAGCCCAATCAGAAGCAGAGGAGCCAGGACTTGCACAGGGCACTCCAATATTGGTGCCGTTGTCCCAAGCGGCAACTGTACCCACTGCCTGCCCTTAATAAGAGAGCCTTTTCCATGAAATGAACTAAGCACGAGATTATGCAATGACTAGAGGTACATATACATGGTCGCACAGCCTGCCCAGCCTCCAGCTGGAGCTGCAGTGAAGAGGAGATGACCTGCAGCCACACTGAGCAGTACAGGGAGGGAAGTTGTCCCAAATACCCTGACTCAGCTGGGTCACAGCCCCTTCCCTCCACTGCAGTGAGAGTGAATGCCTCAAATGTACCCCAGCCACCAGGGCTTGCCAAGCCAGGTTCAAACCAAGTCCAGGTCAGCAGGGCTCGTCCTACAGCCCCCAAGAAACCAAAGACAGGAAGCAGTTCCCCAGGTCAGAAAGACTAGGCAACCGGCACAATGGCCTAGCAGCTAAAGTCCTCACCTTAAACTTGCTGGGATCCTATATGGTCACCGGTTCTAATCCCAGTGGCCCAGCTGCCCATCTAGCTTCCTGTTAGTGACCTAGGAAAGCAGCCAAGGATAGCCCAAAGCCTTGGGACCCTGCACCCTTGTGGGAGACCCGGAAGATGCTCCTGGCTCCTGACATCGAATCAGTTCAGCTCTAGCCATTGTGGCTACTTGGGGAGTGAATCATCAGATAGAAGATCTTCCTTTCTGTCTCTTCTCCTCTCCATATATCTGACTTTGCAATAAAAATAAATAAACCTTTAAAAATAAAAAAAAGAAAGACTAGGAAGGTGGTGACCAAGGTCTCCAAGGTCTCCAGGAGCCCACACCACGGCAGAGCTGATGCTAGAGAGGAGGAAACACACAGGTCCACTGCATGCTTCTTGCAACCGAAACTAACCAACCCCTTCATCCTATCACCCTCCCCGCCAACACACACACACATCCCTCCATCCCACCAGCAGCAACCAGCACCCTTCCAGGAACCAGCACCTCTCTAGTGTAGCTTCCTGCGCAAAGCATCACCAGAGCCAGGCACTCACCTACACCTGCTCCTCAAGGAAGCCAAGCTCAGGCAGTCACCCGCAAGAGCTAGTCAGGGAAGCCAGGCTCAGGCACTCACCCGCATGAGCTCCTCAGGGAAGCCAGGCTTGGGCATTCACCCGCCTGGGCTCAGGCACTCACCCGCATGGGCTCGTCCGGGAAGCCTGGCTTGCGGGGTGCTTCCTGCCGCCGGGATCTCAGCAGCTGCTTGGCTTGCTTTTCCGTCAAGAGTGGGGAGGTCTCTGAAAGACAGGGTGTGAGCACCTTCAGAACTTACTGGTCCAGGAGTTCTCACCCTCTGCCCTCTCCTGGGTGAAGACAAAGAATGTGCGAGTTCCAATAGCATTTTTGCCCAGGGATCTGTCCCAGGGACCAGGCATTCTGCAAGGAATTTCAGGGGTTTCTTCCACAGTGAAGTCACAGCAAGGGCCACATGACTGAAATCAACCTGCCCCTTGCAACGCCCTGCTCCTCTCAGAGTGGGGCTTCATTCACTGAATCTGTTAAACACACATTTTCTTCAGTTCTCTGTTTTTAATCGCTTGCCTGTGATTCAGTGTGGTGTTCTGTTGTTCTCCATACGCAAAATCAAGGTTAGAGCTGTTGTTGAAAGCTGCTCAAAGACAGCTGCACTAAAGCTGCACTAAAGTTGTCAGAGTTAACTCCTTAGGCAAGGTAGTTACGGTAAAGCAGTGGTATCATTTTGAAAGCTGCATATCCAAACTGTAAAAGATATTATCCTAACACAAGCAGATCAGACTTTGGCAATCTCACAAGTTTCTGAAGACAGGTGTGAGGATACCTCAAAAAGTTCCAGAACTGAGATGATGTCTACGTCAAAATGGCTAAAAGAGGAGCTTACACGTATTGTTGTCGCAAAGAAATAGTAATGTGGCAGACATATGCAGCTATTGAAGCACCACAGTTTATGTCAGCCACAAATACAATGTTTTCAAAGAAAGCAAAAACCGATTTTGGTAAAAATTATTTTAGAATCCATGCAAAACAGAGTCTTCAAGAAGTTTAAGGAAATGCTTACCATTTAACAAAAACTCCGCATGAATTTCAGAAAGCTTTGCACCAAAAGTCCCTTCCTATGGCTTGAAGATGTATTCACGTTTTTGAGAATCAATGCTCAAATAACTCCATGCATTTTAAAAGAAAAAAAATCCTTTCTAAGGAAAACAATTCTAGAAGCCTGTTCAAGGACCAGAAAAGAACAAGCACTGAGCTTTCTGGATACATTAGATACTATACATGATTTAAAATTGAAAATTGAGACCAACAGAGGATTCTCCCAGTTCATGGCTCCCCGCGGAGCCGGGCTGTGTTAGGAGCACGCGCCCACCTGAGCCCAAAGTCAGCGAGCTGAGAAGGAGCACCAACACTGCAAGCCTCTCCATCCTGTGAGCCTCCTGTCTCCGCTGCTGCTGCTGCTGCTGCTGCTGCTGCTGCTGCTGCTGCCGCCGGGAGCGTTCTCCCGGGCTGCGCAGGCTACTTAAGCAAGCCGCGTCAGGCTCCAAGCCAACCCAGTGTGTGCTTCCGCTAGGACTCACAGCTGGGATGCTAAATGTATCTGACTCGGTTTTAACAAACACCACCAAAATATTTCCTTCTGGTAAATTTGCATCCTGCGGAAGCAAATTATGCCCTCTGATGCGACTTTCAGAGCTTGTTTCCTTCAGTTCCCTAGTCTGTTTTCATCCCTGGCATTCGCTTTCAGATCAAATCTAGAGTGATGTTGAAAGCTGCCCAGGGACAGTAAGACTGCACTGAACACTAGTCGGTCAGCTATAACTTCTTAAATAAGGTGTGATGATGTGACAATAGTTTTGCTTTGATGGGGAGATGGAACGGATTGTGCCAGAGTCACTTAGGAGGACTTACCCACCACTTCCGTCTACGTTCCCGCCCCACTGGCAGCCACCTCTGACACCTGCGCACATCCTCACACTCACCAAAGCCCCTTCACCTGGCTGATTTGACCCTCCCAATCACTTTGGAGGGAGACAAGGGAATCAGCAGGGCATGTAAAGAGAGAGAGAAAAAAATTCTTTCAGCTGACAGTGGCCCATGAAGACCAGGGTTAATTGTGGCTTCCCATCTTTCTGGCATCTGACCTTAGATGAGTCCCCAACCCTCGTGGAACTTGTTCCTTCCCCTGCGAAAGGTGGAGACAGAAACTGCCCTGTGGGGTGTGAGAAGCGATAAGGAGCCAGCAGCTGGTCCCACCCATCTTGACCACCTCCACTTCACAATTGAGGAATATGATGAGACTCAGCGAGGTGAAGGCAGGCCCATGTTCACGTGGCAAGATACTGAGGTATAGCGTGGTCCCAAACCTCCAACTCAGACCCCAAGCTCTGCCTGAGACCTTGGGAGTAGGCGGCTGGGCATCTCAGCACCTCCTGCAGGTGCTTCTGCAACGGGCTACCAGCGGCTCTGCAGGCAGCTAAGCAACAAGCTCCAGGTCACCAAGTTTACCAAGATGACGGAGTTCAATTCACTCCAGCCCTTTGAAAACTGAGATCATCTATAGATCTCACATGGACAGATTACTAAACATACACTTTTTTTTTAAAGATACTGATAAGGGATGTGGCATTTATTTGATTAAGATTCTCCAATCAGAGAGTCTTTGCCAGCTCAAAGAAAACAAGACCGAGTCCACAGCCCTTTGGGTCCGTGCTAATGTTGTGTAACCGATACTAAACCCAGATGTTCTGTCCAGCGAGTCAGTACAAAGATATTTTGAGCAGACTGTAAACAAGGGGGAAATGCCCACATTGTGAGCAAAGCTGCCCCGCATGGTCTGATGCTCGGTTTTCAGCACTCCAAGGTTCTGAAACGTCATCTGTTTTCATGTTTTTTTTAATAACTGAGGAATTGGGGGGGGGCATTCTTTTAGAAATACATATTTGTCACATTAAACACCTTGTGGTTGACTAAAATACTAATTTTGTTATTTTGTTATCATATCAAATAAACATTTTCCATGGATGAGGGGGAAAGAAAACCTTTATCTAGTTAGAAATGTCTAACATGTCCAGTGTAAATGTATGATAAAAGGATCTTTTAAATTCAGGCACTTCTGTCTATATCAGCATGTAGAGATGGAGGTTTGGCACGGCAGCTGGAGGGGCTGCTTGGGATCCTGCATCTTATATCTGAGTGCCTGGTTTGAGAGCCAGCAGCAACTCTGCTTCTGATGTAGCTTCCTGCTGATGCACATCCTGGGGCACAACAGAGAATGGCTAAGAAGTTGGGTCTTTGCCTCTCATATGGGAACCATGGATGGAGTTCTGGGCTCCTGGCTTGTAGGCATCTGGAAGATGCACCAGCAGGTGGAAGATCTCTGTCTCTCCGTTGATCATTCAAACAAAATGAAAATACACAATTAAAAAAATTTAAAGGGCCCAGGGTGATGGCCTAGCAGCTAAAGGCTTCACCTTGAACGCGCCAGGATCCCATATGGGCTCCAGTTCTAATCCTGGCAGTTTCACTTCCCATCCAGCTCCCTGCTTGTGGCCTGGGAAAACAGCAAAGGATGGTCCAAAGCCTTGGGACCCTGTACCCGCATGGGAGACCTGGCTGGAGCTCCTGGCTCCTGGCTTCGGATTGGCTAAGCTCCAGTCTTGCGGCCGCTTGGGGAGTGAATCATCAGATGGAAGATCTTCTTCTCTGTCTCTCCTCCTCTCTGTATATCCGCCTTTGCAATAAAAATAAAAATAAATAAATTAATAATAATAATTTTAAAATAAAACGTATGAATTTGATGACCTTTTAAAAATATCTGGTTCCTTCGTTGCACCATAAATTCTAGAGAAGCTCACGTGGCCTTCATAACTTTTCTGAAAACTCAAGGGACCCTCTGGAGGTGTGTGGAGGTGACCATGGAGTCAGAGCCTGAGTTGCAGGTGCCAAGCCTCAAGTGCAAGAAAATCCTTTAGGTGTGATACTGGCAGGGCCACTCAAATGCCCTTCACCTTGGCCCTGGGAACACTGTCCCAAAACTGCAGAGTGGGGGTCAGACAGAGAGCAAGTGTCACTCGGGCCAGGGGAGAATTCTACCCTCTATCCCCATTCCCAGTGAAAGCGCAGGCGCTGAGTTGAGACCAACCACCAAAGCTCTGCAGACGGTGCAATCCCTAATATAGCCACAGGGTGGCAGAGTGGAGAGCAGCAGAACTGGGTCAGCCGAGGTCAGGGGAAAGAAACTTAAAAGCCACCAAGGTTAGTTCTTCAAGAAGTTACCAGGGGTCCTGGGGAATCTGCCAGCTGTGGAGAGAAAGTGCTGCAGCACCTGAAACCCTATCCCAGCTGTATTAGCCTGCATACTACTGGAAGGACTTCATCAGACAGCAAAGCCTAGGAACATTGCTGACCAATCTGACCACATTTAAGAAGAGAAAAACAATGGCACACACATTCGCAGCACGTTAGCACCATGAATGTTTCTGTTTATTTGAATCTCTCATCTCTTTTTAGGTGGAATTCTCAAATTATACAGGTACCCAAGGATTACTGATGCAGCCACCACTATAGAGTTCTTGATATCATAGCAAGTTCCAGGAGCCAAGGAAAGTCCAAAGTCACAAGAACCTCTGCTTTAGATGACAGGAAGATGTCGGAACTTCCAACCTGGAAAAGTGTCTGCCACACTGGAGACACCCAAACCTCAGTTCAAAGTGCCAGAAGTCCTCTGCTTGCTGCTGCCGTGGCCCCTGGGTGGCAGCAGGCGGTGGCTCCGAGAGGGGCATCCTTGCCATTCATACTAGAAACACGAATTGAGCTCTGGCTTCCTGACTTTGGCTCTGGCCATTGTGAGCATTTGAGAAGTCAACCAGTGGATAGAACATCTCTGTGTCTGTCTGTGCCATTCAAATAAAATGAAAAGAAACAGTTCTTCCAACTATTATTGTATGTGCATTGTTATTATCTGGTGGTCAGAGAGCACAGAGACAAGAATGCTGTGCTGGCTCACTTTGCCGAGTGCCCAAGTTAGCCAAGGCTGGGTCAAGGCTGCAATCGGAACCAAGAACTCAACCCAGGTCTCCTGCATGGGTGGCATGATCCCAGTCCTTTGAGCCTTCGCTCTTGCTCCTGGGGTCTGTGATGGCAGGAAGCCAAAGCCAGGAACCTGCCCAGGCCCCCCAGTGAGTGAAACAGGTATCCCTTCCTCTTCTTCATGGTCTGCCTTTCCAACTAGATTATCAGCTCCACATCTTGACAGTTAGTGGATCATGGATTTTATAACTTTGAAAGCTCCATGTGCATACACACACACACACACACACACACACACACATTAACTGACAAGCACAATGTGCAGGCAGAAGTGAAGTTCCGAGCAGGTGTGGCGGGGCCAATTATCAGCATCTATTCCTTTCTGCCACCTCCTATCCAGCACTCATTTGGCATCTTTCTAGTCCTGCCTTTGGCTTTGGGTTTGCCCCTGTGACTTTCCTGGGGTGACAGGATGACAGCAGACATGAAGCAGATGTAGGAAATGAGAAGCCCCGTGTGTCCTCTTGCCTCTCTGCCATTGTTACAGAAAGAGCTGCTTCCCCAGACAGCTGCTGCCTGTCAAGCAGTTAGAGCCAAAAAAACGTGGGGAAGTAGCTGCAGGAGACTGTAACCTGAGGGATGACCCGCCCAAGCCAGCCCAGCTCAGCCCCGCTAGACCCCAGATGGCACAGCCTGAACCAACACGCAGACCCCGGGAAATTAAACACCTCGTTGAGCGGAGGCTCAGCTTATTCCACAGCCTTACTCTGACAACTGCCACCTGATACAGAGAATTTCAATGGGATGGTTAGTGCGGCCCAAGGCGCTACTGGATCTAAGTTAAGAATAGGGCTGTGTCAGAATACTTACGCAGAAGCACACAAACACCCATGGTACAGGTGGTGTGGTGCGCAGGCACCAGCACTTCTGGGCTTGAATGCTCTAAGCCTCGTGGCCTGTGCAACTTCTGTGATCTTAGGCAAATGTCTAATGGTGTCCTCACCTATTTAAAAAATAATAATAATCATGACGAAACTCACCTCCTAAGGTATTTCCACAACTGGAAAGAGACGTAGCACAGGCCTGCCTCGGAATCCCTGACCTCCAGGGATTGTATCTCTGTGGACTGAAAATATTTGGAGAGAAAAATTGGGCCTGTGCTGAACACGCACAAAATTATTTTTCTTGCTTTGACTCAAGTCATAGCAACCATCGGCACAGCATTTACCTGGTCTTAGCCAGGGATGGTTACGAGGGAGTGTGCATAGGCGCCAGTCACACCATCCCCGTTCCTGGGAGGGACCTGCACATGCTGAGATGTAGCTATCCACATGGGGTCCCTGGACTCAAAGTCCCACAATATCACATACGGAACTGTGTGTGTGTGAGGTTTGATAGAGTATGTTACATGAAAACTTCACCATTCCTCCCGCTCCCTAATCTAAGGAAATCACCCTTATTAAACATGTACGCATCGCTTATGACAGAGATACACTCTGACAACTGTATTGTGAGGCCATTTTGTCACTGGGAGAATTGCACAGAGCGCTACTCAGACAAATGAACCCAGCCCTGACGGCACACGTGATGTAACTTAGGGGGCCACTGCCATGTCCCCCCATGAAGTGGAACTGC